CTGTAACTTCTTTAAAAGCAGCAATTAACAATGAACAAACATCTACATCAAGAGCAAATATAGATGATGTGCAATCAAATATAAGCAACAATGATACTTTGGAGTGTGGATTATTGGAATCACTGAATATGGCAAAGATATGTTTATTTACTAAAGTAATAGAATGGAAAAGAAGTCTAATATTAAATTGCCATAAAGAAATTGAAAGAAAAAAATTAATTAAAGTTACTTTAATATACAAATATTTAAAGAGAAGACAGAGAAAGGCTGATTTACACAGATTTTGGGTGCGACCAATATTTAGTGTACAAAAAAGATATCAACAAGGGGACAGTGATAATCTAATCAAGGAGATAATCAATACTGATCCTGACAAATATTTTGAATATTTTCGTATGAATATTGATGTATTTAATAAATTATTAGAGTTAATTGAGCCAAGTATCACAAAACTAGATGTTGTCAGATCTCCAATATCAGCAACTACACGATTACAAATATGTTTACGATATTTGGCATCAGGCGATAGCATGCACTCAATTTCGTTTGCATTTCGCGTTGGACTGAACACAGTATCTAAGATTGTGTCTGAAACATGTCAGGCTATTTGGGATAATTTGAAAGATATAGTTTTTCCTGAAAATTCTGAAAATTTATGGCTACAAAGAGCAAAAGAGTTCGAAGAATTATTGGATTTTCCAAACTGCATTGGTGCCATTGACGGAAAACATGTTGTACTTCAGGTATAGAAAAAAAATTGTGTTAATAATAAATATCAACAGTTGTATAACTTAATTTAAATATTAATAGTTTTTTGCTTTAATTTTTGCGTTTTTTACATTTTAGGCTCCACCTCATGGGTCAACGTATTATAATTATAAAAATTCTCACAGCATTGTGCTTTTAGCAGTCGCAGATGCCAATTGCTGCTTTACAATCGTAGATATTGGTGCTGAAGGTAGACGAAGCGATGGAGGAATATTCCGTGATAGCAAACTTGGGCATCAATTAGAAAATAACGATTTAAAGTTACCGAAAGCAAGGTCAATTTCAGAAAACGGTCCAACATTACCATATGTTTTAGTGGGAGATGCAGCTTTTGGTTTAACTTCGTATATGCTACGTCCATACCCTCAATCGTGCAATTTGAATATTATAAAAAGTATATTTAATTACCGATTAAGTCATACTCGGAAAGTTGTTGAATGCACTTTCGGTATTTGGACTGGCAGATGGAGAATTTTTCGAAGGCCTCTTATAACAAATGTTGATAATGCAATTTTGATTGTTCAATCAACTGTCTGTTTACACAATTTCTTGATGATGAAAGATCTTAATCTTCCTATAGAAAACAGATCATATTCTGTAAATATTCCTTTACAAGATCAAAATTTATGTCAAGGATTATACAGTCTTGAAAGTTTAAAAAATAATACATTTTGTGGGAGTACTGTGAGAGATCAATTTACGCAATATTTTTCTACATCTGGAGCTATAAACCAACAGTGGACAAAAGCTTATACACGTGATTATTAAATACAATTTTATTTGAAAAATAAACATTGGTTCTTTATCATTTACTCATACATATTTTATATACATAAACAGTCTTATATGTATAACATGTATAAACAATCTTTTAATCTTATAAACAGACTTTTCTCGATGTTAGTTAAATACTTGTAACACTTTTAGAAATCTGTGTTTCACACACACAAACATCTCTTTATATGAAACTCTTCTAATCTAATATTTTCTAATACTTTTTGGTACTTTTAAAACGTCTTGAGTAGACTTCTCTGCAAAATTTTACTGCTTATTTACTACTTTTTTTATAAACTAAAATAATCGTATTCTATAATCTTATAATTATCTCATTTTTCTTTACTTTTATCACAATATATCTTAATCATAAAAAATCATACTTTTAATAATCTTTGAAACAAGAAACAAAAATCTTTCAAACAAAAAATTTTGCAGATAAATAAAATTAACTTACTTCCTAATTCGTTAAGGTTCCTGGATACTTGTACAATTATATTCAAATTATGTAAAAAAAACAGATAGTATGCAGTAAAAATAGTTCATTTTGACGTGTATTACAAAATATTTGTTTAATTTTTTACGTTTGACGTCAAAATTTCAAAATATAGCTGTGCAAGTACTCATGAGCCTTTATATTGCAACAAGAATAAGACCAAGAGTAGCAAGAATAAAATCCTCCAAAGGTATATCTTTTGTTTAAGTCTCTTTTGCCACTTCAATTTCGTAAAGTTTTGTTAAAAACTCAATTTCTAATTTTGACCTTTCTTCAGATAAACCTTCAGATAAACGTAGTAAAAATCCATCAATCGGAGTTGGATCCTTGTTTTCCTTCAGCGCTTGTGTAAGAACTTCGTCACATTTATCTACACTTTGGAATTTCTTCCTTTCTGTTAACAAAGTAAAACATATTAATTAGTATTTCAATATTTATTTAAATTTAATTCATGTAAATAAAATGACAAACAGAAATTATACTTTTTGATGTTGTGGATATTGAAGAAGAGCCTGGAGTTGATTGCACATCATTCAAATCATTTATATTTGCACTTGGTGTAGATGTTTGTTCATTGTTAATTGCTGCTTTTAAAGAAGTTACAG